TATAATGTCATTCATCTACCAACACAAGTCTCTTTCAGTTCTTTATTTCTTCCTTCATTTTCTTTGTTCTCTTCTATTTGATTTTTCTAGGATGCCATGATAAACTCCCACATGCTGGGTGGCTTATTCACACAGGAATTTGGGTTCTAGCAGTTCTTCTGGCTGGAAGTCTGAGGTGGAGGTGCCAGCAGGGTTGGTTTCTTGTGAGGCCTGCCTCCTTGGCCTGCAGAGGGCCGCCTTTGTGTCCTCGTGTGTTTCTCCTTCTGTGCATACCTGTGTCCTGCTCTGCTGTTCCTGCAAGGACACCAGTCCTACTTGATTAAGGCCACCCTGTGACCTAATCTTATCTTTTTAAGGACCTTCTCCCTAAATACTCCCATTTTGAGGTACTGAGGTCTCACACACCAACATGGGAATTTGGGAGGGATACAGCTCAGAACACAACACCTTCTTTCAGGTCTCTGGAGCCGTCCTTCTGTCCTTCCTACATGCACATACACACAGCAGCCCTCCTGGATCAGGAGGGAGATACACTGATGACAGTCCCCTGGTGCTTTCCTGGGCTCTGTTTTTGATTGTGAGCCAGAAGCACCTCTGGGCTTTCGTTTTTGCCTCAGACCATGGTTTCCCTTGCTTTGATTTCTTCAAAAGCATCCTAATTTTGGAAACTTTGGAAAATTTAGATTGTGGTATCCTTTTCTGATCTGGTACCATGCTATAAAAACTTATTTTTTTAAAAAAAATGTCTTTGATGAAATCTTGGAAATGAAGAGAGACACATGAGATCAGTAACACATTGAACCCACTATCACCTCCACCCATGTGGTAAAAGAGAAACCTTTTTCTATTCACCGAAAATATAAAATTCTTAATGGATCAAGGGTTTTATTATTTTAGTAATGCCCCAGAGACAACACATAAAAAAAATAAACAGGAAGCTCTAGAAACCCAATGTGAGAAAATAACTGATAACTTCAAGAATTTCAGCAAGTCAGACTTCTGAGGAAAGTGAATTAAAGGAAGAACATGTAAAAGTTTAAGCAAATATAATCCTTTTGATCACATGTTATCAGTAAGTTGAAAGACTTAATTGATTGCCTTAAATAGAAACTTTAAAATATAATAATACTTCAGGGCAAAACTAGTTGAGGGTTTGATATTGATCCTTCTCATGCATTGTTAACATTACCTATTGATATATATTATATACATCTGTTTTACTCAGCTTTTTCACTGCTGTGACTAAAAGACCTGACAAGAACAATTGCAGTGGAGGAAAAGTTTATTTGGGGGCTCAAGGTTTCAGAGGTCTCAATCCATAATCCATAGCAAGATCTTCTTCAGGGCTCAAGGGGAGATGTAAATCATGATAGAAGAGTGTGGTGGAGGGAAGTGACTCACATGATGATCAGAAAGCAGAGAGAGACTCCACTTGCTAGATACAAAATATATACCTCAAAGGCACAACCCCAAGGCCCACCTCCTCCAGCCATACCCTATCTGCCTTCAGTTAATCCATCAGGGGATTAATACACTGACTGGGTTAAGGCTCTCATAACCAATCATTTCTCCTCTAAACCTACTTCAATGTCTCACACATGAGCTTTTAGGGGACACTTAATATCTAAGCCATAACATTCCACCTCTCTCCCCGAAAAGCTCATGCTCATCTCACAATGCAAAATACATTTAGTCCATTTCCAAGAGTTCCCATAGTCTCAGTTGTTCAAGATTGCCCAAGAGTTCAAGTCCAAAATCTCCTTCGAGACCCAGGGAAAATTTGCATCATGAGATCCTATAAAAACCAAAAGTGATTTACAGGTATCCAATATATAAAGGTTCAGAGTAAATATTTCCATTCACAAAAATAGGGGCACAGAAAGAAGGAAAAGGATCAAAACAAGACTGAAATCCACGTGAACAAACAACTCCAGTAGCTCCACGTCCAGCATCTGGGGCACATGGCATTGTGAGGTTCTGTCCAAAGGGCTTGTGTCACTTTGCTCCTGTGGCCTTGTTGGTTTTAGCCCAAATGGCCTTTCTGTTGGCTGATCTCAGCTTGATTCCTTCAGCCTCATCAGCAGATGTTCCATGGTACTGGCATTTCTTAATCTTAGGCATCTCCACTGCAATTCTGCTTCCTCCTCACATCTCTATGCATTGCCCTCTCAAGGGGTGCCCGCAGGGACTCTGAACCTGCTGCACTTTGCCTGTCCTTTCAGATCTTCCTTTAAAATCTTGGTGGAAGTCTCCATGACCCCCTAACTCCAGCATCCTGCAATCCTGCAGAACCAGCACAAAATGGTTGCTGCCAAGGTCTACAGCCATATTAACCAGTGGCCAAACCTCCAGGGACCACAGCTGCAGCAACCTCTGAGTGCCTGGATGGGTGAACACATTGAAAAAGCTTCCTTGGCCCCTTCATGCAAAAAGAGTGTCCCACTGGTCTCATCTCAAGAGAATTTTTACTTGTACTTTCTTAAGTCTGAGATGGATATGATCTTGCCAATTCCTGAGATGCCCTCAAGCTATCTTTCTTACTGTCTCTGGCAAAGTCTTTAGCATTTCTTTACTGACAGGAATTTCTTTTAAACTGTAACTTTCTTAGCCCCAGTTTTACTCCCACCTTTCAAGTCCAAGTTTTTAAAATCTTTCTGTTTTTCTTTCTGCTCCTGCACAATAAATTTGGCTAAAAACCACCAGCAATGTCCATGACACCACCTGAATGCTATACTCTCTAGAAATTTTTTCCACCAGTTAAGAATTCCATTGCTTTTTAAATCAGCCCCTCAGGAAGTTTCAGGAAATAGGCAAAATTCAGGCAAGTTATCAGCCAGAACATAACACAAATGTCCTCTAATCCAATTACCAATAGTATCCTCCCTTTCCTCCAAACCCTTTTGATCCGTGTCTTACTGTCCATGGTCCTATTGGCATTCTGGTCTTCTGAGCTCCCACCAGAATTGTCCATTAAGGTCCACTTACAGCATTTCCAGCTTGCAGTGCTAAACATCTCAAAATTCCTCCCCCAAATTCTATAAAGCTCCAAAAGCTTCTAAACCACATGGTCAGGTCAGTTATAGCAACAACCCCACCTCTCAGTACCACTTTCTGTTTTAAGTCAGCTTTTTTGCTGCTGTGATTAAAAGACCTGACAAGAGCAATTTTAAAGGAGGAAAAGTTTACTTGGGGGCTCACAGTTTCAGAGGTCTCAGTCCATAGACAGCCAGCTCCATTCTTCAGGGCTCCAGGTAAAACTGTACATCATGGCAGAAAAATGTGATAGAGGGAAGTGGCAGAAAGAGAGACTCCACTCACCAGATATAAAATATAAAGGCATGCCCCCCTTCCCCCTTCCTCCAGCCACATCCTCCCTGCCTTCCATCACCACTCAGTTAATCCCACAGGGGATCAATTCACTTAACTTATGACTCTCACAACTCAATCATTTCTCCTCTAAACTTCCTTGCATTGTCATACACATGAGCTTTTGGAGACACCTAATATGTAAACCATACTAGTGTCCATAAACAATATATTGTTGCTATATTTTTAAGCTTAATGTGATATAAAAGTTATATCCTGCGCATGTTATTCTATAATATTATAAAAATAGTATGAAATTATTTTAATATTTAGCCATATTGACGTATACATCTCTTATCCATTCACTTTTCCACTGTAGAGAATTCCGCTGTATGGATATACCACAATTTATTTATTCACATTTACTTCACATTCTTACCTGTTTCTTTGTTTAAATGTAGGAACTTTCTCTAGGCTGGTGATCTTTAAACTCTTGATCACTTTTAATAAAAATATTTCGAGTATGAGCCCACTACATATGAATATTATATCCTTTATAAATTACATATATAAACTACTGTATTGAATCAATATGTGTCACAAAGCTGATAAAACTTGGTTATGTATTTTAGGAATACAAAGTTTGAATTATTCTTTTTAGTACTTAGATGTACATCATTATTACTTTTTGTCCTCTAAATTAGATAATCTGCTATAAACCTTCACTCACCTATTTGTTGGGAAAAAATGAGCTGATCTTATTTGGGCTCATTCCTAGCATCCACCTCATTCCTAGAGTGGTACAAGAATTTTGGGATCTTCTATAGCCTGGAACATCTAAGGAAGTGATCTCTAATCACCTGTCCTTGCTGTTCACCACCTGTCTGGTCCCAGGAAGGCAGGCAACTCACCTGGCTCCACATGAAGCTGAGGCAGGGGAACTCGCTGAGGCTGGAAGACTTGGGGCAGGCAGCCCAGGCTCGTCAGTTGTTCCACTCCTGCAGGGTGCTGTCTCTCCAGAGCCACGTGGGAAATGTTTACTGGGTTGTCCCACTTCTTCCTCTCCAGACCTTGTAACCCTTCCCTGTCACAGCCAGCCTCCTAGCAGTTAAAGAAATTACAAGTCTCCTTCCCTGCCTCCAGAAGAAAACCTTTTGGAGGCTGTGTTCTAGGTACTGAGAAACTTCTGTTTGGGGTCCTTCACTTCTTTTTAATTTTTTTTTAGTGTTGATGGACCTTTATTTTTTTTTATTTATTCATTTATATGTGGTGCTGAGAATCAAACCCAGTGCCTCATGCATGCTGGATAAGCACTCTACCACTGAGCTATAATCACAGCCCCCTTCACTTCTTTAACACTTCTGAAGCAAGGAGCACAAAGCTCAGTCCCTATTTGGTGCCTCCTCGGTGTCCCCAAATGTCCGTAGACTAGGTAATACTTACAAAGTAATTAGAACAGTACCCGACATGTATAAATACAGTGTTAAATCAATTCTCTCAGGGTTGTTGTCATGAGTGGGCAAGCAGGGGCAACCTAGTGTTGCTAAACTGTCTCTCTTTAGACTCCAGGGATTTTCTGTAAGCATCTTCAATTTCTTCAAAAAAGGGTCATAGATCAATATCAGGTGCGTGTCCTGTGAACTGTAGAAAATTGCTATCTGGTTCAGTTATGAGACCACGGTTTTCTGTTTCAGATTTGTAAATACTTTTAATGAAGTTATCAGCATTACAATGGATGGGAGAGTTTTTGAAAACATCACCAGTCACAACGCCAGCGAATATCAGTTTTTCCCTTCTGGCAAGTAAGTACTACTAGACACTTGGCTCCCGATACAAGAGTGTCAAGTATTTTTTGAGGCTTTAATACCAAGGACATTAACAATGTTATTCTTTCTTTTCATAGAAAAACTATCATAGTGAACTCAACAGAGATTTCACAAGACTGTACACAAGATTTTGAATCTTCCAACCTTGAATTTGGTAGCGCTTATACATATGTGATCAAAAGGGAGGTTAGTAATTCATTGCATCGTATTAGAAGTTCTACTCACCTTGTGCTGATCTGACTCTTCACAGTAAGGACATTCATTTAATGAGAGGAATATTAGGATTTGTATTGTAAATGGGCTTATAGTTATTTCTCTAATTAATTATTGACTTAAGATAACCATTAGAAGAGAATCCTCAGACTGACTTACACTGATTACAAGTTCACATTGGCCAGTATCCATTGCTTACTTATAGACTTATTATTACTATTACTATTACGTTTTCCTGGGAATCAAACCTGCTAGGCAAACTCTCTGCCACTGAGCTACATACCCAGCTCTTTTTATTTTTTTCATTTTGAGACAGTCTTGCTATATTGCCCAGGCTGGCCTTGAACTCATGATCCTCCTGCTTTAGCCTCTAGAGTAGCTGAATTACAGACAAGAGCCACCACACCCAGCTCCTTACAGACTATTTAACATGGACTTGAGAAATGTGTAGTTCAAAGGGATGGCAGTGTTTTAAACAAACCTGGTTTCCAATCTCCTGTCTTATTTAAAAGGAAAATGCTAGTGAACATATTTTCCATTCCCACACAAATATAACAGGCAATGCTTCACTTGCACATTTAAGACACATACTTTCTCATAAATTGCTTGACAGAACCCTAGAAGGTCGAGCCCAGTTTGCCTGTGGGAAGAACTGTTATTCTAGAAGCTACCTGACTTCAGTTTCAGCTTCCTGCTTTTGCTTTCATGGTTTAGGGTAATGGCTGCCCCAAACTGGAGGAGTTTGAAGATATTCCACCCAACACAGTTAACATGGCTCTGCAAATCCCGCAGTATTTTCTTCTCACCTGTGGCGAGGTGGTCTTCTCCATTACAGGACTGGAGTTCTCATATTCACAGGTTTCTTGTTCATTGTCTTTACCACCCCTCCTATCTCCGCCCCTAGATTCATAAAATGCTGCAGGAACTTAATTTAAATCTGGAATAGCTGTATGTTTGTAGTTTTTAAAAATTCTAGAAAGCATTATGATGTTTTCCCCAGACCAAGGTCTTTGGGGTTGACAGGATCACTGAGTGAGAACACCACGCTGTTAGCTTTTGAGCGTGCGTCCATTGTGTGTCTGAATTCCTGTGGTCACTCTAGAAGTTACGAGTCCTATGTAGGAAAAAACAATATTCATGACTGCTACCAGGATCATGGTGGCAGATTCTACAATTTGAAATAGGCAGATGCTACTAAGTATTCATGAAAGTGTTCATTTACAGGTCTGTGTCCTCATCATGTTTTAGATTTATTTGAGATCTCTTTGTGGCTACCAGTGAAAACATCAAATAAGACCTAGCTTTAAGAAGTTTTAAATATTGCTTTTAGGCACAGCAGACAAATGAGGCAAATTTTGTTGATATGCACATCAGAGCTTAGTGTCCCAGACTATTTTAAAACTGCACTTACTGTAACCCACAATTTCTAGTGCCTTCTATGTTTGTAGTAAAGATGGTAACTGTGAGCTGGATAATGCCTTTCTGTGATGACCTCACAGTCTAACAGACGGGGTGACCATAACATAGGTGATGAGACTTGGGAGACAGGTTTTGGTGACGTGGCCGAGAAGCCGCAAAGAGCAAGCTTGTATCCCAGAGAGCAGCCTCCATTTGGGGGGAGGGGTGCGAGGGTGGCTTGGTCTGGAAACTGTCCTGCAGAGGTTGAGTCAGTTCACCTGGAGCTCTGCTCCTTTCACCAAGAGGAGCTCAGGGCGCGGGGAGGAGAGGGAAGCCCGGGGATTCTTTATGCTCCTGCAGCGGGGAGGCTGGGTGCCTAGTTACCCGTTTCATGTTTAAATGAAGCGAGTTGGCCTCCAATGCGCACTTAGGGTCAGTAGACTGCCCATGGAGCAAGTCAGTGAGCCGGGTTCTGCTCCGAGGCTGACATCCAGTTGAGACTCTCTTTCCTTTGTCTCCTCAGGCTCCTTCCAACATGAAGTCGGTGCTCCAAGCAGGATGGCTGTTGACAGTGGCTTTCGGCAACATCATTGTGCTTATTGTGGCAGGGGCAGGCCACTTCAGCGAGCAGGTATGGGACGGGAAAGGAAAGAGGATGTACCTCTGCCTAATCTTTTAATGGTCGTCCCCAAGACCCTTCCCAGCCACCTCTAAATACGTGGTCACTGGGTTGGTGGCTGGATAAAATGGCCAGACTGACCAGATAGGGTTGCTATCAATGGCCTTCTGGCAAAGTGTGTACTGATTCTTATTTTCACCTGGTGCCACACTTTAGAAGTTGACAACCGAAATAACCAAGTTGAGTTAAACCACCTTAGTGTGGTTTACTTGGAAACTATTTTTCCAAGCCTCAGTTAATGCCACTCAATAGCCCTAAACTAGACCTATTATCTAGAAATGTTTATAATACCTGAAGTTAAAGCCATCTTTGAGTGGTTGATTTTTTTTCAGCTAAAATAAAATGAGGGCTTTCTGGACACTGCAACACTGTCTTCAGCACTGGGGCATCACAGTTGTCTCTTCCCACTGTCCTCATCCTTTCCTGATCAGCTCCCATCAGGGGTGTGATGGGAGGGCTCGCAAGCACAGGGTGCACCCAGGAAGAACACAGGGTGTCACCTTGGTAAAACTCAGCACATTCTTTTCCCCATAAGGGTGCTGCTTGCTGTTCTCTTGGTCCGCATCCTTCCAGCACCAGCCATGTATCTTAAGGCTTGAGTATTTTAGAAATTTTCTTTCATCTTTCCAAAATCCTGTGTTTCTGCACCTCCATGCTGTTAGAAAAATGTTGTCTGTCACTTAGGCATTCAAGAAAAGCTGGCCAATCTGAATCTGTATTGGTTCCTACCAACTTCCCATAACAATTTAATCCATAGCAACTTCTACGTAGACATAGCAAGAAAATGTTCGCTCAGTATGCACGTGAATATGACTTATTTTGTTTGGTTTTGTCTTGCTGCAACTCTGATTCCTTCGCAGTGGGCTGAGTACATTCTGTTTGCTGCGCTGCTTCTGGTCGTCTGTGTGATATTTGCCATCATGGCTAAATTCTACACCTACATCAATCCAGCGGAGGTCGAGGCTCAGTTTGATGAGGATGAAAAGAAAAAGGATGCAGAAAAGAATGACCTGTACCCCACACTGGGGCCTGTCTCACAGACACAGATGTGAAGATCAGGAAACAAGCCGAGGATGGACTGGGCCCAGCCTGCGCCCTGGCCTCTGTCCCCAGGGCAGGACACTCCTTTGGATAGCCCTTGATGGGGAAGACTTCAGAATTGTGAACTGAACCAAGAAAGCTATTTTCTAAGCAGCCAGCAATGGATCTAAAACTCTAGAAGAAGTCTTTGTTTAAAGTCTTATTTAAAACACACTTTTTTTTTTTTAAACTCGGAGAGCACACGTTGCATTTATCTCTTCTCCTGACAAATGAATGTAGTTTGCACTAACAATTTTGAAAGAGTGACAGAGTTCCATTGGTTTTTTCCAACACTCTTACAAAAACAATGTTAACTGAGACCAATTTTTGGCCAATGCCAAAAGTGAATTCACAGGTTTCATAATGGTGTAGAGTTAGCACCAGCTGGTATTAACTGATAACTTTACCTTTTGGATTTTACTTTAGTTTTTCCAATCCCTACCTCTTTTTAAATTGCATATAACTCAAAAGACCACTCAAGTGAAGGCCAGTAATGATTTTTTAAGTTTTTATGGTATGAAATAGATTCCTGTCTTTGGGTAGGGTAGCTGTTTAACAGGCTAATTATAAAAGCAATGTATGTCCACTAAAATTTCACCAGAATTTGATAAAAGCATTAACAAGAACTGTGCCCACATGGGATAAATCCCAGGGACATGAAACATCAAGGTTTATTTCTTCATTATCCTATTTTTCCCAGGGGGAAATTCTGTATCTTTTATTATTAGGATCTTTTTATGTGCATTCATGTATAGATCTCATAATGGTTTTCCGCTTGAAGTAAAAATTCTTCCAAAAAATTGTTAACATTAAAATCTAATTCATACTACAGATGCTGGTCATTTAATCATCCCGGATATCAGACTAAGAACGATTTCACTTTGGCATTCCTATACAAACAAGGGATAGCCCCTGAACAAACTTGAACACACCCCTGAAGACTGAAAAGGATTCCCAGATTAGGAGGAACAGTCTATGTTTGACCTCAAGATGCTTCATACACAGGCTCATTGTGGCACATGGAGGCTGCACAGAAGGGGAGACTCAAAGTCCAGAGTGAGAAATGCAGATGTGATTAGCAAACCTTGCTCCGCGCTTTTCCAGCCTTGGGATCAAGTCCCAATTCCTTAACAAGAGCCCATGAGGCTCTTTTTTCTCTGACCACATTTCACTTCTCTCTGCGTACTCGGATCCAGCCAACATTGAGCTGCTTTTCTTCCTGAACACATCAAGTTCTCCTTTTCAGTCAAAGGCAAAGAAAAAAAAAATCAGATTCTGGGGCACACTCTCACCACCACCTCACACCTCCTCCTGGTTAAGCCCTGTTCATTTTCAGGCCACTTCCTGCCACCCCTCCCTGTCATATCAGGTTGAGTTTCTGCTCTGAACTCCCATGATGCACCTTAAGATTCTTGGACCTCCATGTATAGTGACTGTCGAGCTTTCCCTAGACTGAAAGTTCTGTATGTACCTGTTCACCCACCTTCAGAACATGACATTCTTCTATACATAAATGCACATGGCATTCTTCTATTTATTAAGTAAATGTTTTAAAATCTTACACTGTGAGAATGAGATGAAAGAGGCAGAGACCTAACACGTTTATTGGAATTTAATCAGAGTCTGATTTGAATGAGCCTAACAACAAACTCAGTGTAGAAGACCAGATGTAAGGGACCACTAATTCTGCCACTCCCATGATTTCCACCCCCTAGTTTACATATTGTACTTTTCATGGGGGAAACCAAAAGTTGTAGTGAGGAGCACTCAACTTCTATGGTCCTACTCTTGACAATAACTGAAAGAGAGCTGATCCTAAATCCTTGAGAGGTTCTGATCCCAGCTTGTTTTGTAGCTGCTGTGTAACGTTGGGCGACTCTTGATCTTTAGATCTCATTTCTTCTATGAATTAAGAAAACACCACGTAATCTGAGGCCTAAGACATGTTTGAAAGTGTCTGGAATTCAGTGGGCTTCCAAATATTTGAATGAACCAAATCTGACACTGACACTTTGCATGCTTTGTGTATGGATTTAAAAAAAAAATGACACCGAAAGGATTTTCTTTGGCCTTGGAAGGGCACAAGGAGGGCACAGAGAAAAGCTTGTACACTTTGCCCTTTAGGGTTGACTTTTCAGAAACATCCTGTCCTGGCTCTTGTTTGACCACTTTTTCAAGCATAATCAAGACTGAGAGATGCCAACATGGGTGCTCTATTTGCAAGATCTTGGACAATTGCAGTTGTCACAGGGTAATGGTGTTGGGGGGGGGGGGAACACATCCATATCCTCTGCTCTTCTGCTCCCTTCTGGCAGTCGATCTGCGTGTGTGTGTGTGTGTGTGTGTGTGCTTTACATCTTTTTTAAGTCCCGTGATGATTACTGTAGAAACTAGCACACTGATTTGAACATTGACTGTTTAAGTACAGTTGTACATCAGGTGGGGAGGAAGCCTCTAGGACAGATTTCCTAGTTCATATCCAAAATCCAGAATAATTTCAAAAGTGTTTACAATATGCCTATAAATACTTTTCATGTTGGCTTATTCTGTTGTTCTTCTTTTTAGATAGAATGACAGTAGAGTGTTTTTGACATACATACATGGAATAGAACTTATTCTAATTAGGATCCCATTCTTGCAGTGGTACATGATGTGGAGTTTCACTGCTCGTGTATTCATATAAGAACATAGGAAAGTTATGTCTGATTCATTCCACTGTCTTTCCTATTCCCATCCCTCCTCCTCACCCTTCATTCCCCTTTGTCTAATCCAGTGAACTTCTGTTCTGGCTCCCCTCCCATCTGCATATCGGAGAGAACATTCAGCCTTTGGTTTGGGAGATTAGCTAATTTCACTTAGCATGAGAGTCTCCAGTTCCATCCATTTTCTGGCAAATGCCATATTTTTTTTTTCATTCTTCTTTATGGCTGAGTAATAATCCATTTTGTATATATACACCACAATTTCTTTATCTGGAAATTTTGTTGTATTCTCATTTTTCTTAATGATAAATAATAACGTGTATTGAACCCTAAACATAGGCAGAAAGTGTGCTCACAGTCTTCTGAATTAAGTGTAGAGCATTCAATCCTGCAATAGTAGGGTACTATTATCCCCATTCCTTAGAAGAGAAAATAGGCACAGAGAAATGGAGTCACCTGCCCAAGGCTGTCCCTATCATCTGGCTCCAGAGCCCAGGTGTCAGCCATACACCGATGCCTCTCTGTCCGTGTTTGGTCTAGAGTACAGATCAACTCAATCCTAGAACAATAGTTAGGACACTTTATGAGGCCCACTTTAGAGGGATGGGAACTGAAGAACAATCGCTCTACACAGGCTGCCAAGGCAACGGCCCAGAAACTGCTGAGCCAGGGTTTGGACCCAAGCCTGTCGGAGCCAAGAGGGAGACCCGCCTCTCACCCATTAGGCTACATGTCTCCTTTCCCGTAACAGAAAGCAAACCTGTGGTGGCTGTGGCCACAGAGAGGGGAAAAGGGAAAGGCAAGGTGGGCACCAGAGGCCTCAGAGGCTACTGTCCACCCGAGACCCATCATGGACACCAGGGCTTCCTAGAGGATTAGAGGCCTGTGTGAAGGGGGGCAAGGCTGCGCAGCTGGGCTCAAAGGACAGACCAGGAAACATCAACCTCCTTTGCCCTCCTGGAGGGAGCCACGGGCTACCATAATTCCCTCCCGTGACCTGAGTGCTGAGTGCCACCAAGGAGGCCCCAGCAGGTAGCTCCCCCAGTGAGGCCACGGTGAGAGCTCTGAGCCTCCACTCAGAGGGTCAGGGGCTGGCAGCCAGGGCTGGGCGAGACCCCAGAAGGAGCCTCTTTCATTTAATTTTAAAATCTAGCAAAATATACAGAAGAGAAAAATGGTCATTTGTACGTGTGCGGCTCAGCAGCATTAAGTACGTTCACATTGGTGGACAGCCATCTCCACTTCCATCTCCAGGACTCTTCATCTTGCAGAACTGAAGTTCTGCCCCATCTAATAGTCCCCATCTGTCTTCCTCCTAGAGGCCACCAGAGTAGGAAAAACAAAATGGCAATTCTCTTGCCACCTGCCCTGTCCTGTGATGTCAGCGTGTGGGCTCTCTGGAGAGCGTCTTCTGTGGGGCTTTCATCCCAAATCCTGATCAAAGGCAGCGAATGGGACAAGACCAGGGCCGAGGGGCTCCAGGGTCCATCAGCAAGGTCACAGCCACCACCAGCCTCTGCAGCAGGACAAGGGGCTTTCATCCGGTCTCCCAGCACCCTGCTCCCCTCCGGCAGTACAGTACCACTTGGGTTTTTATTTGCTGTCACGTGTGGCTTGTTCTAATGAGACTCCTTCTCTCTCTGGCTGTGTTCAAAGACTCAAAAGGAACAGGAACTGAATCTGGTAGGTTGCTATTTTGGTGCACTGGGACAAAGAGCCAACACTTCCCAGGGCTGAATGTTCTGGAGGCCGGGGGGTGAAGGGGGGGGGGGGCGGCTGTCTGCTTGGTGGGAATCAGAGGACTGATCTAAATAGAGGACAGCCCCCTGTTTGGGAACTGTGTGTCCTTGGGGATGAGTCAAGTGTCCCCTGAACAGTTTCTGTCTCATAGAAATTGTTTTTTATGTTCCTCCTCAAAGATTCCAGTCTCCCTCCCCGCAGGAAAGAAGGAATGAGGCACATTTTAAGGTGAGATTGCAGTAAATCACCAAGTTGGGGGCTGGAGATGTGGCTCAAGTGGTAGCGCGCTCGCCTGGCATGCGCGGGGCGCTGGGTTCGATCCTCAGCACCACATACAACCAAAGATGTTGTGTCCGCCGAAAACTGAAAAATAAATATTAAAAAATATTTTTTAAAAAATCACCAAGTTGACCTTAAAGTACGTTAACAGAGACGGAATCTTATTCACCAGTTGGCATTCCGGATCCACCAACTGGTGGGCCAAGGGGTAGGCTGCAAGTCTATACCCTTTGAGCCCCTCCTGGGGCCTGAGTACACCTTTTGTAGTCCCAAACCATATTAAGGCATAAGTGGCTGTTGCTATGATTCAAAACCATAAACGAATGTCATGAGATCTAAAGTCATAAGCAAAAAAGGGAGTGGGCCACAATGTCCCTAATCAATCTCTGACAGGGTACATTGCCCAAGAAAAACAGCTACCAAAGAGAGAACACTTTTACATTGTATAAGAATTGCCATTTTGTGTTGCCAAACATGCTATTGATAGATGCAGAGGCTGGGCTTTCCACAGGAGAAGCATTTCTTACATGATGTGGAGTCTCAGGGCAAAATGGAGTCTGTCTGGTCATTGCCACACAGCCTGGCCCTTAACACACAGGCCATGGGTGCTGAGCCCCAGCTGCGTAGTGGCCAAGTGGAACCAAGAGCCTTGTCCCCAGTTTATGCATCGGCTCCTCAGCCTCTAGCAGCCCCTGCGTTCAGCTGGGACTTTAGTCTTCAGTAAGATGAACCTTCAGTAAGACTGACCTTCAGGAAGATCGACTTTCAGTGAAACTGGCCTTTAGAGAGACTGACCTTCAGTAAGATTGACCTTTAGACTGACCTTCAGTGAGATTGACCTTTAGAGAGACTGACCTTCAGAAACCAACTTTCAGTAAGATGGATTTGAGAAATGACCTTTATGTAAGACCAAAACTCCAGTAAGCCATGAGTGTTTCCTGGGTCCTTGGCTCACTTGACAAACCTGGAGAGCATTCATAATAGGTCCCACTCAGCTTCTAAAAGTCACAACCCATGTTTGTCCAATAATTATTCTCTAGGGACCTGTAGCACGCAGAGAGAGAATGAAGGCGAGAGAGAGAGAGAGAGAGAGAGAGAGAGAGAGAGA